TAAGTATGCTTCAGCATATTCAGCGATATCTGGTTCATAGTCATCTTCATCTTCAACTGCAAGTGGAACAGGTTCTGATGTGTCAAATCCAGGAACGGCAACATCATGCCATTCATCATGGTCACGTCTCACCTTCGATTGATTAACACGCATGACTGCGTTGTCAACATGAACATTGACCATAGCACCTTCTTGAGAGATAACAGTACCTCTGATCCATCTTTCCTTCTTCCATGCCTTTGAAGCAATAGCATTAGCATTGACAGGGGAACTCCAAACGAAAACCTTGTCACCTGGTTTGTAAGGTCCATCTGATGGCATTGTTCGTTTGGCCATGTCATGTCTGAGGTCAGCAGCTTGTCTGGCTTCCTGATGTGCCCTCAGTGCTAACCTTTGCAACTCGAGTTGTGTTTTGTCTTCAGGTAAAGGATCAACACTAAGTTGAGCAGGATCAGAAGTCTCAATATCCAGAAGATCTGGTGGTCTTCTACCAGTGGCAATTTCCAAAGGAGAATAACCACTAACAGTGAGTTGAGTGTTTCTGGCCCAAACAGTACGCTTCACAGCTTCTCTAATGGTAATTCCTCTGAACCTATCATCTTCAAGGTTCTTGGACATGATTTGCCATTGTCGTTTGAAAAGTCTGACAGCTGATTCAGCTCTGTTAGGCCATGGGGTTCTTGAACCACAGGGACATTCCTTGATACCATGAGTTCGGTAATAAGTCAGAAAGTCTTCTTGAAAGAATGCTTCATCACCTACGATGGCTTTCGGCATACAGTTATGTTCATCAGTCCACAACCTTAGAGCCTGAATGGTCTCCTTGTTGTTCAGTGAGTTTTGTGCCGTAGCCCAAAGTAAGTTGGTTGCACCATCAAGAACAAGCAACACCATGTACTTGTTCTTCCTCAACTGAATTTCAGCATGATCAACAAAGATAACATCTCCAAAGTTGGTGGATCGTATGCCTGAAATTCTGGCTCGCGGCGGTGGTGCAATGGAAGTACTACACACACGACACTTGTTGTACATTTCATCATACTTCTCATAGACAGAGTCAGGAAGTCCTAACATGGAAGTCCTTCGTCTGAATTGAGTAGGAGACATGTGATAGTGTTTAATGTGAAGTTTGTAAAGTTCCACACTATCCTCCAGTTTCCTGAGCATCTTTCTGTATGCTGGTGTCATGGCTTGCACTTCACTACCAGGCAGTGGAATTGAAACTCGCCTAGGCTCAAGAGCATCACTACCTAGTTTCTCAACTTGACTTTCTGAATCTTGCTTACCACGGTGGCGCGCAGGTGCAGAATGTTTTGGTTCAATGACTTGAAGTTCATCTGAATCAACTTTGTCCAGACCTAACTCCCTAGCTCTTATGTCCAGTTCATCTTCCTCATCAAGCTTGGGATAGGAGACAACAACCTTCTTTCTTGATGAACCTGATTGAGAGTCATCGACAACCTGAGGTTTCTGCTTACCTACGTGTCTTTTGGCTGCAGGTGGACCTACCTCAATCTTTTTCGAGCCTGGTCCATTTGAAATCGGTTTGCCTTCCTCCTTCTTTAAGGAGCTTGGCTTCTTCTTCTGTACACCTGATGGCACTGAAGAGGCTGACTCAGGGTGAAAAAGATCATCAATGTTTCCACGAAAGGGCCTTGCACGATCAATGTCACTTCTGACAATGTCATCTGGGATCACGTAGTCCTCCTTGATCTTGTAGATGGTCTTGCCCTTCCAGAACTCTTCACTCTGTTCAGAAAACCTCTTCCTTCTCTGTGCGCCAGTTGTCCTTGTGAAGAACCTTCTTCTTGCTCTTCTGGAATTCCATGTGTGTCTCTCTCTCATCTAGAAGTTGATCTTTTGGAATTGGAGTTTTCTCTGATCGAGTCATCTCATGTAAATTCATTCTCTTGTCCTTGTGGTGCCTGATGAGTTCACGACGTAGTGGATCCACTTGCCAATAGTCACCAGTCACCAAAGCTTCTTCTTCATGAACATCTTGTTTGACAGCAATCTGGCTGTACTCAAAGTGATCGTGTTGTGAGAAGAAACTCTTGACTTGAGGAGTCTTGAAATGAACTTGGCTCATGTACCATGCTACATCTTGTAGGTCGAGAATGAGATGAGTACTGATGGCTGTCCTCAAAACTATTTTTCTCATGCCAATACGTGCACAGGACAAATAAGCCTTCTCTGGAGTAAGTTCAAATTGAAATCCAAGGTTTCTCATCTGTGGAAGTGACATCAACAATGGGACATCACCTTCTTCGACAATGTGGAATTCTGTAAACTGAGTGTTCCATCCATGATCATACATGAATATCACGAGCTTCTCAGTACATTTTGATTGTTGTGAATTTGCAAAGAAGAATCTTGAACTTGTTGGCTGAATTTCATACCAGAGTCCACTGTTGGGATGTGAGTCAACATATCTGCAAAATGCTTCAACTGCTCGTCGAGAGCCCATAGCTCTTGTGCATCCAAGATCTAGAATACACACAGTTGGTGGTGCAGAATTCTCTGTGTGAAAAGCTAGTCCATTCTCACATGCCAGATCAGTTTGTACAGTATGAAATGAAAAAGCACTCTGCTGTGATGGTTCCTCTATCTCTGTAGAGCATCCATATGAAAACAATGATGTGCCTTTTGCCAATGGCTTCCATGAAGCCTCACCTTCTTGAAGACCAACTTGCCTGGGCACACGAGCTGGACGTCGTTGTACACCTTGTCGAAGTGCATCAACTTCTCCAACCAGAACAGGGAATCTTTTCATCTCCTTCCTGTTTTGATGTGCTGTTGCATCACGTTGGTTCTGTCCTCCACGACGAGTGCGTCGTTGTACTTCTTGTTGTTCATACGTGGATGTCAAAACATCAACACGTGCTGGCTCTGTCTCTGCAACATCAACACGTAATGGGTCAGTTCTTCCAAATGCAAAGAAACCATGACCAGAACTTGATGCAGCAGAAGAATAATGAGCTTGTTGTGTTTGTTGATTCTGTATGGCAGGAACTGATGTGGTCTGAGGTTGAACGTAGTTCGACTTGCCTTTTCCATCTCCTGGCTTTCCTCCTTTGCCATCATCATCCTTGCCTTTCTTGCCTTTCTTTCCTTTTCCTTTTCCTTTTCCTTTTCCTTTCCTCTGGAAGTATCCATACTCATCCATGTAGTATGAATCATCATAGGCCCAATAGCCTTCATTCCAGGTTTGATCATCGGCCCAATAGCCGTCATAGTTTTCATTCCATTCATCTTCTTGCCAATCTTCTTCATAACCTTCTTCACTCACCATGTGAGCACGGCCTTTTCTTCTTCCTTTACCTCGGCCTTTTCCTTTTCTTGATCGGAAGAACCTTCGTCCTCCTCTGCCTTTTCCTTTTCCTTTTCTCTTTCCTTTACCTTTGCCTCGTCTGATGTATTTGCCTTGGAACCTTCTCTGATACCATGTGAAGTTGGCGTCATCATAAACCCAGAAAACATCTTCTAAAGCATCCAGGAATCCTTCTGCGCCGTCTTCTTCATCTTCGGCCCAATAGCCGTCGGTTCCTTCTAATTCACCTTCATCCAGTACGAGGAAAGATCTTCTCTGTGCCATGCCAGAGGGTTGCATCAATGGATTGTCAACTGCTGTTTTGGTAGTGCAAAACATTTCCAAAAACAGGTCACGTAGTTCTTGAATGTTGTATTGATCGAGGGTTCGTCCACGATGTGTCATGATACTTGTGAGTGTATTTCTCTGATCTTGACTCAGGTCAGCTAGACTTACAAAAATCAATGCTAGCAAATTTTCACCCAGTGGGAATGCTTGTCGCTGTACTTGTCTACGATTTTCCTGAAATCGTCTGAATGCCGCTAGTGCCAGTTCATCTGACCAAGGAACAGGTACATGGGGTGTTCCTGAGGCTGCTGCTACATCAGCTCTCTCTTGTTGATCTCGTTCATGTTCTTGACGTCGTTGCTGAACAAACAGGATTGCTTCAGGACTAGTCACTGTTACTTCTGGAAGTAAATTCATCCAAGACTCAATAAGTCTATTGCCAGTGAGTTGAAATCTAGTCATCCACTTCTGAAGATCCATGGTTCCTCTATTGAACTTCATGAACTGCATGAAACGGTATAAGAACACGTTCTGGGCACCTTTGATAAAATGAGGTCGTAGAAGTCTTTTGAAATAAGCTACTCCTTCATAGGGATCCCTGAGCATTTCTCTATCCAATAGTCTCTTGTATTGTTGAGCATCTCCTTCCAGTCTATTGCGCAAGGCTGGACCACGTTTCTCTGGTTCTAACTCCGTAATGTCACACCAGTCATCGATTGCATCCTCAAAAGCAAAGAAGCTGGTTCTCCCATCATATGCTGGAGCTACCTTTGTGGTCATTTGTTGCGTCATATGAATCTGTGTCTGCTGGGGTGCTCTTCTCATTGCATAAGAGTCATATTGGTTCCATTCATTTGCATCGACAATGTCGAAGTCATCATCATCATAGCCATGGCTTGCCATTTCTTGGGCTCTACCTGGAGCTCACCCTCAATGAGGGATCACAGCTCCGCTACCACTTGAAGAGGGGCCCTAGCGTCTACTTCAAGATCAGCTAAGGCGTCTTCCCCAATGACAGCACTTGTTTTACTCAGCCTGTTGCCGGTCTGTGCTTGTCTACAGGGTTACTCTATATACCTCTTGAGCCTTGAGGGCGCATATAAATGTGCTCAATACTCATGCATGTACCTATGTAGGTATTAGGTCGAAACAAAAACAGGGGTCCCCCCCTTTCGCGTGAAAAATCACGTGATGTCCTTGAGCAGCCCCCGGAATACTTGCTAAAGCAAGAAGACTCCAGCTAGCTGACGCTAGCTTTCGTAAAAAACTATTTTTCATTTTTCCAGACTGTTCCAACCACTATTTTCTTACATATGCAACGGTTCGCTGGGTAGCATTTCACAATAAGAATAACAAAAGGCAGCAACATCAAACTTGGCCCTGCCTAGTCCGGGTACTGGTACTACCACAGTGTCACCATGGGAGCCATCTCTTCTCCGATGTGGGTTTGGTAGAGGGCGATGTGGGCTTGGTTCAGGGCCGCCGTCTCTTCTCCGACGTAAGCTTGGTGGAGGTCTGGGTGGGGGGGGTGGTGGTCTTGGTGGAGGGACTCTTCTCCGACGCAAGCTTGGCGGAGGTCTGGGTGGGGGGGGTGGTGGTGGTGGCCGAGGGACTCTTCTCCGATGTGGTCGCCAGCGCAGTGCCCGGAAACCAGCCGCCGCAGGCCACACCGCCGGGGCGTCCTCACGAGGGAGATGCTTGACACTGCCCTGCCTCCACACATGTCAATGCTTTGGTTGGAATGGTTTCCTGAAATCTTCCCACCAAACTTCTCTCCCAACAAATGTTCACCCTTACCTTATTTCTATTATTACCTGTATTTGAGCCTAAATGCTGAAGACTTATGCATTTGAACACTGCCAGCGGGACACACTCGCATTGCCCTTCTTCGCTATTCAAGCCATCTTCAATCCAGGCTCTCCTTGCCTCTAGACCAGGCCTTGTTGACATAATAATTCATTTCCTTGCTTTCTAAAGCTGCCCGGCACTATCCTATCTCTTGAGCAGCATGCTTTCCTCGCATCCTACTATATCTACTATCAATTGCTGAAATCATGTAATCCTCCTGCCAAACTTTCTGCCTACAAATCTCCATCCCTCCCTTGCCCCTTGACGCGTGTCCTTTCCAAACTTACCCTGCTCCATCGTATCTCTTGGGCGGAAGAGGCTGAATACAAGAGTTAATTAGTTTTAACTCCAATGTTAATTCTTTAGGTTTTGCCCCTATTCAACCTGCGGCTCTAAAAGAATTAACCCTAGAGGTAATTCTGCTAGCATTGTTAGTAGAGCGGCAAGAGAATTAACTCTTGAGCTAGTCCTTTTTCATTATCGCTCCTCCTGTTCTTCTTTCCGTATGCCTTTTTCTTTCTGCCTTCCTTTTTCTTTCCTTTCCCTTTCCTTCGTTCCTTCCTTCCTTCTTTCCTTCCTTCCTTCAGTCCTTCCTTCTTTCCTTCCTTCCTTCCTTCCTTCCTTCCTCCCTTCCTGCCTCCCTGCCTGCCTGCCTTCCTTCCTTCCTTCCTTCCTTGGTTGTTTTCTTCTTTCTTTGTCTGTGTCTTCTTGGGCTTGAGATATTTTGGCTGTTAATTCGACTAAAGAAGCATAAGAAGGCAGGTTCAAGACAGAAAGATTAACTCCCGAGTTAATTAGTTTTTTAGTTTGTCTCCTTGTTTTCTTCTCATTGTGCACCTCTTTGTTCTTGTTTCTATTCGTTTTCTTCTTTTCTTCCTTCCTGTTCCTTCCTTTTCCTTCCTTTTCTTTCCTTTCCCTTTCTTTTCCTTCTTGTTCCTTTCTTTTGCTTCCTTTTCCTTCCTTTCTTTTCCTTCTTCTTTTCTTTTTTTCTTTTTCTGGCTTCTTGAGCTAGAGATACTTTGGCTGCTAGTTTAAAAAGGTAAAGAAGCATAAGACGGCCGGTTCAAGCCACAAAAAAAAAGATTAACTCTGGAGTTCAGTCTTTTTTTGTCAATTCGTCTCTTTGTCTCCTTCTCTTTTCTTTTTGTATACCTTTTTCTTTCTGCCTTCCTTCCTTCTCTTTCCTTCCTTCCTTCCTTCCTTCCTTCCTCCCTGCCTGCCTGCCTGCCTTCCTTCCTTCCTTCCTTCTCGCCTTCCTTGGTTGTTTTCTTCTTTCTTTGTCTGTGTCTTCTTGAGCTTGAGATATGTTGGCTGTTAATTCGACTAAAGAAGCATAAGAAGGCATTTTCAACTCCCTGTAAAGAGTCTTAGATAGATAGATAGATAGATAGATAGAAAGATAGATAGATCGATTAGGTAGGTAGGTAGGTAGATAGATAGATAGATAAATAGATAGATAGATACATAGATAGATACATAGATAGATACATAGATAGATACATAGATAGATAGATAGATAGATAGATAGATAGATTAGGTAGGTAGGTAGATAGATAGATAGAAAGATAGATAGATAGATAGATAGGTAGATAGATAGATAGAAAGATAGATAGATAGATAGGTAGATAGATAGATAGATAGATAGATTAGGTAGGTAGGTAGGTAGGTAGATAGATAGATAGATAGATAGATTAGGTGGGTAGGTAGGTAGGTAGGTAGATAGATAGATAGATTGATTGATTAGGTAGATAGATAGATAGATAGATCGATAGATCGATTAGGTAGGTAGGTAGGTAGATAGATAGATAGATAGATAGATTGACTGATAGATTGATAGATTGAAGTCACAATAAAAGAATTAACTCTGGATATAATTCTTTTGGAAGAGGTCCAAAAAGCTCCAAAATGCGTCTCGATGCCCAAGCAAACAACAAAGAATTAACAACACAAACAGGATCGACAAAGGATTTAACTCCCAAGTTAATTCTTGTGAGATGTATGCTGACGTGTACCAAAAGCTAAAGTACCAACTTGAGAGTTAATCTTACTTAACTCTCGTCTTCATTCCTTTTTCTCTTGGGCAGGTCCTTTTCCTCACAGTTTAGTTTATAATCATGACAACAATCATTTCCTCGCACCCCATCTCATGTCCTCACATCCTCGCACCGAACCTCTCTCCCAAAAATTGTCCATCCTTCCCCTCCTTTCTCAACCCCTCTTACTCGCATTCATCCCCTCACCATACACAATGGATCCAAGGGGGAGCCGAACACCCACCGTCACAGAATTGTCCCATGGCCCATCCCCTTCAAAAACTTCCAAGAAAAAACACCATCTCCTGTGCCTCCGCGTCAGATGCCCCACCACGACACTTCGTGCGCTCCCACTTCCTCACTTACATCGCTCATATTCTCATATTTCACTCACACTTCCCTGCCTACCCCACTCACACCCCCTTTACTCACTTACCTCATTCACTCTCTCCTTACCTCACTCGCCTCACGTAACGCACACTTACAATGAAATTCGATGCACTTTGCTGTTGTAATTGCAACTATCCGCTCCATCTTTCTTGAAAAGATCCTTTCCTCACCTCATATCCCAGAGTCGACCGACCTTGTCTCTTCCCAACACACTTCCCTTCCCCTACTCGCACTCATCCCGTCACCACAAACGGACCCATGCATGGGGAATCGAAAGCAGTTCGACTCGACTATGTTCGACGGGTTTTCGCAAACAAACAACATGATCGACAAAACGACTTTGATTGGCTGCAACTTGCAACGTGTCAGCAGAATCGAAGTCCTCGTGCATCTCTTGGAATGAAGGCAACTCCTGGGGACAGCTCCAACGGGCATTGCAAGCACCAATCCCTCGCACAAAATCTGACAAAAATCACAATTTCACAAATGGCATCACAGAAGAAACATCAAGCCACCTGGCGAACGAACGACCATCCAAATCCACAGGCGAAACTTAACACTAAATTTGCAGCATTAGCTGCCATATGCATCAGGATCTCAACAGAAACATGAACAGATTGCAATGGGAAAACCCCAGGATCATTGCTCAGGAAAACACCACATAAATATATATATATTTATTTATATTTATATATTTACATATTTATATATTTATATATTTATATATCTATATATTTATATATACGTGTGTGTGTGGATAATCATCCAATTTTTCTGCAAAACACCGGGATCACACTGTGGCAAAACTCAACATGGACTCACTGTGAAATAATGAAACTCAAAAAAAAACATTATTTTATAGCATGTAGGTGTTGTAAAAAAATGCAAATTCCGGACGCTCACCCCGCACCACTTTACAAAGAAAACTCAAGCGAGGATGGTTTAAGGTTGCTATTTAGGGTTGGCGTAGGGTGTTCTACAAATTTGCTAATAGTGGCTCAAGACATATTTAAAGATACAAGACGTGCAAACAAAGTACCTATGAATAGGTGTGTGTGTATATATATATATATATATGTTTTATTTATTTATTTATGCATATACATATATATATATAAGGTTACACTACCACATTCTTTGTACCGGAATTCAACGCATGTGCCTATTAGGATTTTTTAATTTTGAGGGGGTCGAGTCCGAGGGATCAACAAAATTGAAAGATTCCGCCAAAACCCTGCACTTGCACCATGTTTTTCCACTGCTTACAGATGAAGATACCAGGGAGACACACCGGGGAAAACACAACGGGCGGGTGGCCAATCGCAGGCAGGCAAACCACAACTGGAAAGGACAACGACATGGCCAAACCGTGTGGCCCGAAGGAAATTGATAACACAAACCATAAAAAGAAATAAATTTGTGTTCCCGTAACAATCGAAAATGGCAGTATGTTAAGGTTCACACAAAAGGCAGAGAGTGGAGCAGCACCATCCTTTTCTTACCACGCCAGGATGGTGCCTGTGCGGCTGCCACTTTAGGTATGTGACCTATGTCACCAGTGGTCTGTTTGACCACCTGCCAAAAACTTGGCAGAGATCTGTGGTGGTGTCATCAAAACCAATTAACCCCCCACCAAACGCAGCCGCACCCACCGGACTCCCACATGGGATCATGGGTGGGTTGGGTGGAAGAGCAAAATGTCCCTTTTATCCCTCCAGCCCATTTCCAATGGGTTCAAAGCAAGGGGTCTGCCAATCGGGTAAAATTTGCGGCAAAAGTTGAAGTGATGCAAAAACCGAGTGAAGCGAGAGGCGCTTCTCTGGGGTGAAACCTACCGGCTCAGGGATCGGCCCATTGGTTGTGATCTCGTTTGCAATGATTCGGTGCCAGTTGCGCTCCCTTGTCATAGAGCAAGTTCACCAGTTGCATAAGGAAGGCTGCAGTCGGCATCTTCCTGGTGTTCTGGTTCAGCAGAGCAAAGACATTGCCTTGATTGTCAGAGATCAGGGCCAGCTGAAGGCGTAGTAGTGTTGAGTTTCCACGTTGAAGAAGCAAGGCTGCCAGCATCAGGGTACCCAACATCTCTAGGGATGCGATTCTCCTGGTAGAGTCTCCATCCATGAAAGCCCAAGGGCATTTTTCCGGTTTGATTTCAAGTTGAAACCACCAGGCAGAGATCTTATCAGGGGCTTGTACATCTGAGATCCAGCCCCCAACCCATGGGCGTGCGGTTCTCACGTCCTTTATGGCGCTTGCATCACTATAGGCCCCAGCAGTTGGAAATGCCCACGTAAGGAGAGGGCTGCTTGTAGGGGACGGAGAAGATAATCTGCAGCATTTTCGCGAAGAGGGTGACTAGCTTCGGAGGTCTCCCCAAAGAAGTCTTACATGCCACTTTCCAGGCCCAGAATGGTTGGAGAAAGGGTCTTGAGAGTGGGCATACACTTGTTAGTCAGCTGATTCTTCCCAGTGCTTTTTCAATGGCCTTGGAGGTGAAGACGTGGCCCTCCCGGAGTTGTCTCAAAATTTCCATGATGTCGTGTTTGTCCTCAGCCATACGTACCACTGGGGGCTTTGGGCTGACAACAAAGCCCAGCCAGGTGTTGATTTCTGAGAGCACTGTTTTCTTCCAGCTCAACAGAACTCCCAGGGCTACATAGGTTGCCAACACGGTGGTGGCCGAGGTTGGCTGTGCCAGCTCTAAGGATCCAGCAGAAGCCGTCCACAAAGACAAATCCCCAGTCGATCTGGGGGAAGATCATGTATGTCAACTTGAGGAGTAAGGCTGCCATTCTTCCCCAATAGAGCTGCGCAGAAGCCGTGCCATAGGTGCCCACTTTGTTCACCCACCATGCTTTGGGACCAAGTTGAGCAACCTGGTACTTCCAATCCGGTTTCAGGACCTTGATTCTCCTATGAGCCTTAGTGATGTCAGCTTTGAGTAAGGTCCAGGCTTGATCCGCTTCCGGGGGCTGCCAGCCATCTTCCGAGTTCCCCTCCCCGCAAATTGCTGGGGTAGGAGGGCATGGCTTCATGGAGTGGAGCCAGTGGAGTGCTTGAACACAGTCCATCACTGTGGGTGCCGTTGTCCTTTCTGAGGTGTTCGATTGGATATGGGTGTTGCCTCCGCCCCATGATACATCAAAGATGGTCCGGACTTTGTCTGATTCTTGGATCCCTGCCATCGGTTCCGGACAAAGCTGGAGGGGGGGGATAGTCAGGGATCGGCTCCTCTTCCCCTCTCAATTCCTCCTTGGTTGGCCAGATTCCTGGCGATTTTAAGGTATGGGGACGAAACCCCGAGTGGTACCCCTTCTCTCAGGATGAGTGGGTATTCCCAGTCTGGATCCCCTAGGCGTCGTGCCAGGCCCGAGATCAACTCGAGCTGCCCGTCCGTCACCCCGGTGTTCTCTCTGATCTGTGAGAGGAGGCGGGCGGAGAAGGGGTGTGACTTGTTTCCTTGGTGGATGGAATTTGTGAAGTCTTGCACCCAAGGTTCACAAACTGCTGCAAGGTCCTTTGCAAGAGATGGGCATGGGGACTTTGGCCGTAGATGGGGCGGTGTCCTTCCCCAGGATGGTTTGCCTCCTCCATCTCGTAGTGGTTTGGTTTTGAAGCCAAGTTGGACCCGAACAGGGTTGTCCTGAAGTCCATTCGCTGGGAATTTGGTGTAGAGCTCCGCGGCTTTTGCCCTAGGGGTTTGGCTAAGCCTTGCATCATCTGCCATGGGTATCTGCTGAGGTCTGAGGATGGCATCCCTTCTGGTCTGTGGTGTTGGTCATGGTTGCATCGCAGGTTTTGCCTATGGAACAGCGGAAGATTCGTGGCCAATGTAGTTGGCTTGGGCGTATGCTGTCCCATCCTGCATTGATCAAAGCGTATCAATGTCAGACCCTGGACCAATGTGCGGAGCCATTCGATGGCCCAGATGCTGGAGCATTTTGACGCCGAGGGTGAAGAGGAGCATTGAACTGGATTGTCTGGATGTTGCAAAAGGGTGGTCTGGCATGTCCATGTCTTTTCGCTCCCTCGTGGGCCAGTACCATGATGACCAGGAATCTCAAAAGCACTCCTGATCCTGCTTGCACAGCCCTGGAAGGCCCCAGGTCTGGTCCGGGCGCCTCACCCTCGCGGGCTGGGTCCCTGGTCTTGGGAACCATCTCAGGATGGACCAGGTACGGCAGTTGGGGCCTCCCACCAGAGCCCTGATCAGGCCCTTCATGGCTGCGCGGCAAAATCTTCCATATGGTTCCTCACGGAGCATGTCATGCTCCACTTCCTTCCCAAGCCTCTTGTTGTCTATCTCGATTATATAACTGGCCAGTGCTTGGATTCCTGCAGCATTGCCTGGCGCAGTGAAGTTGGATAATCCTCTCCGGCATAAAAAATGAGTGCCGTGGGACTCGTGATTTCCCCCTCTGGGAGGGTGATGGGTTCCAGTGTAGTCTCTGTTGGAGTCGTGTTGGTACTTCCTTAGTCCACGGACAGAGTAAGTCCAAGGCCAAGTGGGGTGTGACCTCAGCTGAGTCTGGTAAGGTCCCGACCTGTCATTCGCTGTGGTCAAGGGCGTTTGTGTTGGGTTGAACGATGGTGTGGGTCCCTGTTCCCTCCGCGGGGGCAGCGAGGTGGAGGGTGGTTCACTGACTTGGGTCTCTTTTGTTGGTTGTGGTCTTGGTGGGTGTGTGACTCCCGTCATTCACCTCCCCGTCCGGGGGTTTGTCAGTGGCCCCCATCTGTGAGATACGGGGATTTCCCGCCACCGGCTCAGTTCTCCCTCCATCTCACTTGTTTGGGCATTGGTCCGGAGGGTGGTTCCCGTTGCAGGTCCATCCATCCTTGATGACTGGGCATCCGTGAGATCTTCCACAATTACCTGGGCACTTGTTGCAAAGAAGGTGATCCCGGCAGTACTGCATACCCCCCGGTGGACGGTGCCCAATTCTTTGGCCAGGAGGAATCCTTTCCCTTGGATGTCCCTTTTGAAGGCTTCCCTTTTTGGGACTGTTTGCCTTTGGACCATTGCGTCTGAGCCGGTGACCATGTCGGCTTGGATTTGCCCTTCCCCTTGGAAGTCTGGCTGGTTCCTTTAGAACCTTGGGCCTTGTCTTGTTGTTTGGGGAGCCGTTCGTACACCTCTCTCTGCCAAAAGAGAGTGTCTGCCTTCGAGGGAGCATCCTTCATAGACTTTGTTGTGGATCTCTCTCCATGCGTTTCTCTCAGCATACAGTAGCACTGCTCGCTGGGAGCTGGTTTCCGGTCTGCAGTGTCTTTTCCCCAGAAAAAGGTATACCATTCCTCCAGGTCCTGGACAGGCACATCAACAACCTGTTCCTGAACACCAGGTGCGCTCTCAGCTGTTCCCTGGTGGTTGGGACCCTCCGTTCTTCTTCCTCTTCTTCCCTCCCCCATCCGTTCAAGGTGATCTTCCTTTTTGTGTTGATTGGACGCTCGTCCATTTCTGGGAGGGCAGAAACAATGTGTTTGATCTGGAACCATCCCACTTCTACTTGGGAGCAGAACTTCCACTGCTTTTTGAGGTGGGCGTGTGAGCCTTGGAATTCCAGCTTAGGTCTGGGCAGTTTGACCACGTCATCCCAGTTTTTCAGGAGTTGCTTCCTGTCACAGAGTACGTCCAGTGGCCCCCCCAGTGGTGACTTTCCTGGAGAGGTGGGGCCCCCATATCTGCCTGGAGAATGTTCCACGGCCGACTTGGCACGCCTGACACACTGATAGATTCTCATGGCAATGAACTTCTCTTGTGCCTCATTGATGTGAGCATTACGAGCAAACTCCAACTCCGCTGGTGCCGCTGTCCTCGCGGTCTCCGCTGTGTCCCAGCGGTCTGCCAAGTCTTCCATGGTGACATACCCATCTTGGGCCAGTTTTGCCATAACCTGTCATGGGATGCTCTTATGGGTTAGTAAGGTCCGGACCGATTGGTGAAGTTTCCCCACATCATCCATCACCAGCCGAGGTCTGTCATGCCACGGTCTGACCTACGTGAACAGGCAACTGAGCAGCCTTTTTTCTGCGTTGCTGTGCCATACCATCACGTTGATTTTGTCCACAACATCGGTGGCGTCTCTTGTGCTCTTGCTCTTCATAAGTGGCCTCTAAGAAATCCTCACGTGCTGGTTCAGTCTCAACAACTGCAAGGAAACCATAAGCTGATGAACTTGACGCTCCAGAAGAGTATTGAGCTTGTTGTCTTTGAGCAGGAGTTGACGAGGTTGAAGTTTGAACATAGTTCGGTATGCCTTTTTCATCACCTGGCTTTCCATTACTTTCATCGTCCTTGCTGTTCTTTCCTTTCTTTCCTTTCTTTCCATTCTTTCCTTCCCTTCCTTTCTTTCCTTCCTTGCCTTTCTTTCCTTTCCTTCCTTTCTTTCCTTTCCTTCCTCTCTTTCATCTCTTTCCTCTCTTTCCTCTCTTTCCTCTCTTTCCTTTCTTTCCCTTTTTTCCTTTCTTTCCTTTCTGTCCTTTCTTTCCTTTCTTTCCTTTCTTTCCTTTCTGTCCTTTCTTTCCTTTCTTTCCTTTCTGTCCTTTCTTTCCTTTACCTTTTCCTTTTCCTTTCTTCTGGAAATATCCATACTCATCCTTGCAATACAGATTCTCAACCCAGTAGCCTTCATTCCAGTTCTAATCTTCGGCCCAAAGGCCATCATTCCATGTCTCATTCCATGCTTCTGTCTCTTGCCAACCTTCTTCATAGCCTTCTTCGCTCACCTGTGAGAACGGCCTTTTCTTTTTCCTTTTCCTCTACCTTTTCCTTCTCTTGATCTGAAGAATCTTCTTCCTCCTCGGCGTTTGCCTTTGCCATTTCTCTTCTCTTTTCGTTTTCCCCTTCTGGCCTGTCTACCTTGGAACCTTCTGTGATACCATGCAGAGTCTGCGTCATCACAAGTCCAGAAAACATCTTCAACAGCAACGAGGACTCCTTCAGCGCCATCTTCTTCATCTTCGGCCCAAAAGCCGTCGGTTCCATCAATGTCACCTTCATCCAGAACGAGGAAAGATCTTCTCTGCCCAATAGCAAATTGTTGAATCATGGGATTGTCTACTGCTGTTTTGGTTGTGCAAAACTGCAAAACATTTCCAGGAATAGGTCGCCCTAGCTCAACATTGTATTGGTCTGGTGTCCTGCCTCTACGTGTCATGATGATTGTGAATGTGTTTCTCTGATCTTGCTTCAGATCTGCTACACCTACAAAAATCAATGCTGACAAGTTGTCACTCAAATCAAATGCCTGTCTCTGTTCTTCTGCCGGCGTTGATCTGACTGAAGGTGTTAATGGGCATCTCTTCTGTCCAGGGCACATCGATGCTCCTGAATTAGCTGCTGCAAAGTCAGCCTGCTGCTGCTGTGCCGTTTCATCAGCCTGTCTACGTTGAGCAACTGCTGCAATCACCTCAGGATGTGTGATGGAAAATCTGGTTGAAGGTCCATCCGAGACTCAATCAGCCTGCTTCCAGTCATTTGAAATCTTGTCATCCATCGTCCCACTAGGACATCTGTTCTGGTTCATGAACTGCATGAACCTGTACAGAAACACTGCCTGAGCTCCTTTGATGAAATGAGGTCGCAACATAGCTCACACCGTTTGTGGCACTTTTCAATAAATCTCTATCACGCAAACGCTTGTACACTGCTGCTTCTCCTGCGCATCTAGTACTCAATGCAAGTCCACATTTTTCCGGCTCCAACTCTGTTATTTCACACCAATCATGAATGGCATCCTGAAAGCAAAGAAATTGGACTTCCCATAATAGGATGGCGCTACCTCTGCGGCCATCTGGTGAGTCATATGGGCAGGTTGTTGGGTGCCTCTTGGAAATTGCGTAGGATTCATATTGGTTCCATGAGCCACCAGAATTGGCAATATGGAAATCACAATCATAGCCATGGCTTGCCATTGGGCTCTATTTACACTGGAACTGCGCTCCGCTACCATTTGAAGGGGCAACAGCGTCCTTCCAGTAAAGGATCAGCTAGAGCGTCTTCCAGGCTGCAAGCACTGTTTTACTCTGTGGGCCAATCAGCCAGTCTGTGCTGCGCCTAGTCTACAGAGCTATACTTGCTCAGTACCTCATGCTAATTATATGCCCTGGTAGGGTTCAATCCGAAACACACACAGAGAGGCATGGCGCCTACCCCAAGCAGAACGACAAAACCCTCCAAAGCAGAACGATAACACCTATTCACGCATGTGATGCTGTAGGCTGAATATGGTACTCAGCGCACATAACACAGAACATGCCCTATGTAAACATGTCGAACAAAGAAAACACCCCTCTCCCGCCCCAAAAAAAAGCCCTCAATTAAAAATCTGTTGGTTTCATTCCTTCCTTGCTTCATTCCTTCCTTCATTTGCTCTTTGAAGCCTTCCTTCCTTCCTGGATTCCTTCCTCTATCCCCTTCCTTTGTTCCTTTGCTCCTTTGCTCCCTTGCTTCCTTGCTCCTTTGCTCCTTCCTTCCTTCCTTTCCTTCCTTTCCTTTCCTGTCCTTTCCTGTCCTTTCCTTTCCTTTTTTTTCCTGTTCTTTCCTGTTCTTGGCTTTTCTTTCCTATCCTTTCCTTTCGGTTCCGTTCCTTTCCGTTCCGGTCCCTTTCCCTTCCCTTCCCTTCCCTTCCCTTCCTTTCCTTTCCTTTCCTTTCCTTTCCTTTACTTCTTTCTTTCTGCCTTCCTCTATCCAGGAACAATTTTTTGGATCGCAAGAACACTTTTTTTGATCAAGGAAAACTTGTTGGCTCCGTTTTTTGATCTAGATGCCCCCAACCTGTTCTGAGAGATCCTCGATTATTCATGCTTCCAGCCACTAGCCACTGTCTAGATTCTTGCTAAAGCAAGAGCAACTTCAGGTAGCTGAGCTAGCTTTCGTGAAAAATGCATTGTAAAACAGCACCATGCCACCATGCTTGCATACGCGAGCACTTCAGGCGTTTTCGCAGTAGTACCCAAAAACAAGCTTGAACATTTAAAAAGCCTGCAACAACCCAACGTGCACTTGCATGTAAACAAAAAGAAGACTTTGCAAAGTCATTCCGCCTGAAAAGTAACAACAATCCCCTAGCCCACGCTGAAACTGCAAAGTGACAATGATTTTAATTGCATAATTTGAACAGTAGCTTTGACAGAAACATTGTCGATCATTTGTTGCGGACTATCCCTTTGGAAGCTGGTTGGAAACGCTTTTCCGAAACTCCTCTGCAGAAGCATCGTGCGGCAACACGAGCACTAAAAGATGCGCCACCAAGATCATCATTTTGCGCAACATGGCTCGGGAGCCAATGGATCTGATAGCCAGCAACAAATTTTTGCTTGATGCCATTTAAAAAAAGAAAAATTTTGTCAATCCAGAAACTTTTTGGTTTGTGACCAGGAGGGTAAATTTGTAGCAAACCATGTCAACTGCTTGAAACCTTTCGCGGAATAGCATCGCTGTTACGGGGCAATCACCTCCTTGTGCTTTTTGGTTTCAACTTCTCACACCCCTTTTGCATAAACATGAGTTTATGCTGCTGTCTGAAGCAACATCACGAGTGTTGCGGTCTGTTTTCTTGCGCCAAACGGCTCAAGGTATGTAATTTCGCCGCTCACCTGGCTAAAGGCGTCATTGCCAAAGTCCAAGCAGCACACGCAAAAAACATGACTTCCAAAAAGACAAAGGACCGAACCACGGGGCCAAACTGCAACAAATTTCTGCAAACGCCTTGCAAATTGGAGTGCGCTCCAAGGAACTTTGAGATCTTGTGTCTCAAGGTTCAGGTGACAATAACTGATGCAGCCAACATGCAAGCTACCAGGTCAGGTTAGTCTTACCGCCTAGTCCTACAGACTTTGTACCGAAACTTTTCGCCTAACCAGTCTGACAGGCAGCTCTTAACGGTTTCATTCAATTTGACAAAGCCTATTTTGTCACAAATCAGAAATTTGATCATTTCCTCGTCTTTCTTGTTGGAAGCTTCGGCATCCCGCACATTCAAGGCTTCGAACTGGGCTTGAAGCTTTCTGATGCCACCCTTGGTGTCCAGGACCCGGTCAAACTCACCTTTCTTGCTCCAGGCAGGAAACGATCGAAAACATAGACTATGCAGGATAAAGACAAAACCCAGCAGAAAAAGCGCAAAGAGTAGAGAAGTCGCAGGGAGATATTTATGGCTATATGGAAAAACAAGAAGGCGGCTTTCACCTTCCAACCATCAAGGTGCTCGCCATGACCCCCCACCGCGCAAAGATAATATGACACTCATGTGAGACACCCCTTTAAATCCGCCCGCACCGAAGGTGCTGGGGCGTGATCGTCCGGATGGCACTCGTAAAAGGTTACAGGTTTACCTGGGGGGGGGGGGCATTTTTCGGCCAAAACCTCCTGTTTTTGATAGGTCGTGACGCTCGCCTTCAAAAAACACTGTAAAAAACAGTACGGAAGACACCTGTTCGTGAACGCGCCCGTCCAAAATCGGCAAGCGAAAAGTGAAAAAACCCGTGTTTTTCAACTTTTTGACCTCAATTTTTTGGTTTGCAACATCTTTTTTTGCGGTTCCGCAGGTGGCCTGGCCCGGAGGCGGATTTTTGAGTTTTTGGACCCGTTTTCGGACTGATTTTCGTCGTTTTGTGATAGCAGAAACACTGGTTTTTACAGTGTTTTTCTGTTTTCTGCATGCTTGACGGCTAGCTTCAAAACTTCCAAAAACCTCGTAAATTACGCTGTTTTATGTTACGGTGTGAATGAAAACATCGTAAATACCAGTGTTTTTTGACGTTGGTTAAAAAAACACTGTAAATTACAGTGTTTTTGCCACCTGACCCTCAAAAACCATGGTATTTGCAGTGGTTTCTGCTTCTCACCGCGCAAAAACACTGTAAATAACAGCAATTTCGCCGTTTTTTCATGTTTTTCGTTATTTTTTGAACTGCGTTGGTCCGCTATACATGGCTATCAAATTCTTCGCGTTTTTTTTTCCGACAATCAGTACTTTCGGATGTTTTTGGTCTCAATGGCCGACATCATTGGCAGTTACGATGCGGTGCGGGCGGTTGCCGTCGCGAAGCGACGTGAATACGCTCTAAGACAACCTGCTGGGACACCACCCGAGACAATCACTTCTTCAAAACTTATTCAAAACATGTTCGTTAGACACGGAAGTGCCGCAAGCACTGCACCAGCCAGAGAAAACCTGAGAGAGAGGGAGCGAAGCCTGCATTCTCCTTGCAAGGGGAAGGAAAAAAAACTACATGTACCACCATTGACGAAGAAGCAGGCAAGTCAGAGGGCTGCCTCTAGCCCCGAAAATCTAACTGTCTGCAGTAGATGGTGGATAAGAGACTAAGAATGCAAACGTCAATGCGGATTTTGGGTGTTTGGGTATTCAGCTGAAACAGAGGTCTCATTCCAAAAACCACAAGCAGTCGTGACTGATTGTGGTTGGAGAGCCTCCGTCTTTTTGGTTGCGTCACATGCCTTCTGTTTCCAACTTTTCGGGCCGACGCCATGGCTATAGGGTCATTCAGAACATTTCAGCCAAACATCAGTCAGAAAAGACGCCCCGAAAGCTGACGATACGATAATGTCGATATCAACCCCCACTCTGACTAAACGAATTCGGGAAAGACTTAAAATCCGCCAGCCCAGGCCAACGCCGACAGCAAAGGGGAGCGCGGACAGAGACTAGGAGTCACAAACGTCGACAACAAAGACAATGACAACGACAACACCAACAACAGCAACACAGCAACAACAACAACAACAACCACAACCACAACCGCAACAACAACAACACCACCAACAACAACAACAACAACCAACCACAACAACAACAACAACAACGACGACGACGACGACGACGACGACGACGACGACCACAACAACAACAACAACAACAACAACAACAACAACAACAACAACAACAACAACAACAACCGCAACAACAACAACAACAACAACCACAACAACAACAACAACAACATCAACCAATCACCAACACCACCACCACTACCACCAGCAACAACAACAACAACCACAACCACAACAACAACAACAACAACCAACAAACAAAACGACAAACAACGAACAACAAACAACAAACAACCAAACAACCAAACAACCAAACAACCAAACAACCAAACAACCAAACAACCAAACAACCAAACAACCAAACAACCAAACAACCAAACAAACAAACAAACAAACAAACAACAAGCAACAAGCAACAAGCAACAAGCAACAAGCAACAAGCAACAAACAACAAACAACAAACAACAAACAAGAAACAACAAACAACAAACAACAAACAACTCAAACAACAAACAACAAACAACAAACAACCAACAACCAACAACCAACAACAAACAACCAACAACCAACAACCAACAACAACCAACAACAACAACAACAACAACAACAACCGCAACAACAACAACAACAACCACAAACAGAACCACAACCCCAACCACAACCACAGCCACAGCCACATCCACAACCACAACCACAACCACAACCACCACACCAACAATAGCCATCGACGCCAACCACAACCACAACCACAACCACAACCACAACCACAACCACAACCACAACCACAACAGACGACGACGACGACAAAAACGACGACAACAACAACAACAACAACAACAACCAACAAACAACAACCAACAACCAACAACCAACAACCAACAACCAACATTCAACAACCAACAACCAGCAACCAGCAACCAACAACCAACAACCAACAACCAACAACCAACAACAAACATCCAACAATCAACAACCAACAACCAACAACCAACATTCAACAACCAACATCCAGCAACCAACAACCAACAACCAACCACCAACAACCAACAACAAACATCCAACAATCAACAACCAACATCCAACAACCAACAACCAACAACAACAACAACAAGAACAAGAACAAGAACAAGAACAAGAACAAGAACAACAGCAACAACGACAACGACAACGACAACGACAACGACAACGACAACGACAACGACAGCAACAACAGCAACAACAACAACAACAACACTTCTTATTTATTATCTGTTTATGATCCTTTACCGTCCAGTGGGCCCCTAGCCGGCTGTCGGGTGTAAGCCCTGAAGTATTTTGACAAAATCAATGCAGCCGACGAGGTGCTCTCAGCGCGCTCAGGCAAAATGATGGTCATGGGGAAGTTGTTGTCAATGCAAACATAGGCCTCGAATATGCACCAGGCTCTCTTGATGTACGCGGGGTTCACGAAACTATCCAGGAGAAGCAGCATCCGGCCTGCCTCAGCCAAGTGGCTCTCGAAAACAGTCTTCAGCTCATCCGATCCAGTTTGAGTCTTTGCTTCCAGGATCCGGTACTGATTGTTGCAAAAAAAGCACACCCACAGGAAGACATCATCTGGGTTGACACCCTCTTCTCGCACCCAAGCTCCAATTGCACTCACAAAATCATTGAGTGTGTATTGCCAACACCATGACACAAAATGGGTCACTTTGCCCCTGTGGCGCTCGTCCACAGCATCAACTATGCTGCAACCGGGCTTTCCATCCCGGGGGCAAATCTTTCGGTAGCCAAGGCCTCTTTCTCCTTTAGCCAATACATCGGCCATCCTGTAGAAGTTCGGATTCTCTTCCTTAGTGGCCAATTGAGCTAGGTCTGGAAAGTTCCCAAGAACATAGGTTGCACTGATGCCGAACACAACATGTTCAGGTTCCGGGGGCACTGCTGCGCAAACCGGGCAAAGTGAAGATTGGACTGAATCATGGCATGAAGAGCATCGCCAGAACCATCCATTGCTTCTTGACATTTCGCATTGTTTGCACACGTAGTCACACTTCTCCTTTGCTAGGTCCATGGTATGAGCTCTGTTGATCTTACAATGCGGGATCCTTACCCAATGCAGGTACTGGCCTCTGCACCTTTTCTGGTCCAACCTCCATTTGAGCTTTCTTTCCTCTGAGCTCTCTAGTACTAGTTGCTGCACCGTGCCATCTCGCCACACGAATTGCGGCGGATCGTGCTCTGTTTGCAAGTGAAACACTTGATGCAAATGCACCGCATTGAACCGGCCACAAACAATGGTTGACACAAAATGCTCACCACCTGGCCACTCCATTAGCCACGATCCTTCCCAATCGATTTGAGGTGGTCCGCTTGGATCAAAGATCATTGGATAAAATTTCTCTTCGAACTCTTGAAATGAGATCCGACCATCACCATCTTTGTCAACTGCTTGAAACACTGCATCAGCGATGTTGTGCGGTAGATGATCCAGCACTGACTGCAACTCTAAACGAGAGATAAAACCGTTGTCATCTCGATCTAACCTCCTAAAGGCTTCTAATGCTTTGGATCTCTTGGTCTCTATGGAACTTGGTGGCGGCTTTGGTGGAGGCGCCACAGGTGCTGGAAGAGGCGCCACCGGTGGCTCACGTTCGGCGACATCTCGTCGGCCCACAGTTTCTGCTGCAGCACGGCCTTGTGACCGGTGCACGGGCGACGAAGAGTGTTCATCGGTCGGTTTCTGCTGACGATAAAAGAGTTTGATTGCCAAGCCAATGCCCACCACCACGGCAAAGATTGCAACGCTTGTTAAGAGCCCATTTATGTAGCTACTGTCTCCAGCCAAACCTTAGTGCTGGCGGCTGGCGCCACAAACTTGCCGGGAGTAGCCACTTAAAGTCAGCACCATCTTATTTAGCCCAACGCCAACATCTTAACTTTCAAACGTCGACTTCCCAGCATCTCAACAATTCCAACAGAAATCCGAAAGAGTTGACTAAAAGGCTAGCACTCATACTGGCCAGTAGAAGCTGTATGGGACAGAGTCGCACAATAAAATCAGCCCAGCGGCGTCGGGCAAGGCTTTCATCCACGGTCTGCGGCACCTTGCAGGATGCAGCTTTCGTTTGGAAGTCTTGACATGTCTAGACACGCTAGTAATTGCCGAGAATGCGTCAAAATCATCAAGGAGATGAACATGTATCTGACTGGGTCGCTGATATTTTCCAACCTGTGGAACCAAAGCGCCACTGCACACGATAATTGCGGGATAGTTACCAGTAGTGCCCGGCACGCACCGGGGCGGAAGGTTCGAAAAATTGAAACAACTATAGGAAGAAGATTGCCTATAGGAAGGTTTTTGAGATGCAGAAGCAACGAACGAAGTGTTGCAGTTGTGGAGATGCCACTGAAATGACATGGAGGTTTCCTAAAAAAATGGGTGCCCCAAAATCATCCATTTTAATAGGACTGTCCATTACAAACCATCCACTTTGGGGCACCCCCATTCTAGGAAAACCCCACATGAAAGAATCCAGGCACAGCTGACTGAAAAAAACAACGAATCAATGAACCAATGAACCAGTGAATCAATGAATCATGGAATCAATGAACCAATGAACCAATGAATCCATGAGTCGGCAAATCAACGAATCAATGAACCAATGAATCAATGAGTCGGTGATGCAGTGAATCAACGAATCAATGAATCAATGAACCAATGAGTCAGTGAACCGATCTTTGAATACAGGAATGAATGGTTCAGTGGTTCAATGAACCATTGAATTGAATCAATGAACCAACGAATCACTGAATCAGTCATTGAATCAATGAGTCAATGAATCATTGATCCAGTGAGTCATTAAACGAATGAACTAGTGAATCAAATAATCAATGAATCAATGACTAAACGAATGAATTAACAGAAGGAAGGAAGGAAGGAAGGAAGGAAGGCAGGCAGGCAAGCAGGCAGGCAGGCAGGACGAAAGGACGGATGGATGGATGGATGGATGGATGGATGGATGAGTGAGTGAGCTACTTTTCTTTGTCGAGCTGCTTCTTCACTGAGCGACCTCTTCGCTAAGGCGTCTCTTCTCAGCTACTTCTTCTCTGACCAGTCACTTTTCTGGGCTACTTCTGCTCTCAGCTGCCCTCCAGCTAGCTCCAGCTTCTGCAACCCAATTCTTCTCTTCGCGCAGCTGGTACAATCCGTTTAGCAACCTCCAGCTGCAATCCCGCATAGCACAAGAGTATATGGTCAAGAACTATTGCGCGCAGCGGCTACAATGCGTTGAGCAACCTCAAGCTGCAAACCGGCTTGCCAGGAGCGTCGCAGAATCACTCATGCTTTGCTGCGCGCAGCCGTGCCAATGCGTTTTGTCACAGCCGGTTGCAAACCCGCAGAGCAGGAGCGTCACCCCAAATCGACCAAGGTTTGCGCATCGCTCGCATTGCAATGGGGACCCGACCACACAAATCCGGGGCTGCTCCAAACGCAGCTTTTTTTAACGCTTTGTGTGAAATCGATTTCTCGCTACAGGCCTGTACATTTTTTGCCGGCGGCATTCCCAGAACAGAGACCCTACTTCGGCAACCCCCAGGAGCGCACTACCCGAAAAAAAAAGACACAGGGTTTCGCGCACAAGAGCGTTTTCATCCGTGAATTCACACGTTCCAGATCTGTCACACTTCAACTACTTGATGATGGTTGGTTGACATGATGATTTGGTTGACATGATAATGGGAATGCTAACCCTGACAATCGTCGGTAACTCAGAAGTTTTCTAACTAAACTTCCTTTGGCTAATGGATAGACCGTCATTGGGCACCAGAGATGGATCTAATTCCAGCGGGCCCAGGCCTTGGGCACGCTGCCGGCAACTTCAAAAGCTTCGAGGAAGCCAAAGGACATGCTGAAAGTTAGAAAAACGAGTGGGCTTGGGCCAGCAGGCCTTCTATGCAGCAAGCAGTATGAAGATCCACCCTTTGAAGCATAAGCATAGTTCAGGCACGGTATTTCAGTGACAAACATGTGAAGCACAAAGGTACACATTGACACTCAAAACCATGTAGCCATGTGCAGGTGTTAGTGGCAAGTCAAGTATGAGCATTACCATCAGTACCAGACATGTAGATAGCACCACGGGACCAAGTAGATAGCACCACAAGGAGCAGATAGCACTTCAGTCCAATTAGCTCGGCGAGGTCAATGCAACTTGCACCTCGGAGCCTCCTGGTGGTCTGCGCGAGGCACGAGAATCGAATGTTCATGGTTCGAACCGACCAAGTCTCAGAACTCCACATGTTGTAGACCCTCCCTGGCTTCATTTTCACCCGTCCTCGCAAGAAAAAATATCCTAGACAGCTAAAGGAGAGGCAAGCCGGGGACTCCACTGACACTATTGTTTGTGAAAGTGTCAGTGCCTGAAAGTTGGAAGACTAAAGCAAAGTTTACACTTTACTTGCGGCTTTACAACCTTGCTATGGGCCAGCTAGGCTCAGCTGAAGAAATGCAAACCACAAATTTCCACGAAACTTACGTCCGTGAATTCAAAGGGCCTAAGGCATCTGCGACCCTGGTTGGCTCTACGCCCTATGCGTGGCATGGACATTGTCAAATCCCGCAGCGGTGGCAATCAGGCGATCAGGTTGATAAAGTCCTGTGGCAATCTCTGCAGCCAGGACAAGAGAAAGGACAAAGACTTCAGTTATATACTGAACAATGCAGCAGTTCTCATGTTTCTGGAACCGGTTTTTTAAACAATTCCTGTTGGTCTAGCTGGTAGCACAATTTCACGGCAAGAATTTCCCACCCACCCTATTGGACGCTTTAGGCGCTCGCCTATCCACCACGTTGATCTTGCATAATTTGGTCAAGCTGTTGTTTCGTTGCCACCATGGGGTGTAGTTGCCTTCTGGGATCCCCGAAGACGACGGACAAGAATTGCCAATGCCAGCCCTCCAAGTACGAGGACTGCTACCACTACTGCTGCAATTGCCGGCCATTCTAAATGACATGCTTCAGCATCATGCTTTTCAATTGCGCTTGTGTGGGTGCGAGTTGTTCCATTTCCTTTCTGATAGACGCTGAATCGGGCTCCATACCCATTTTGGAAATTCTCCAAATCTTTTGGTACAAGACACTCGCCCTTAGTGGCTATGCACTGCTCCAGAGCCCTGACAGCTTGGGAGTGGAGCCAGCCCTTGCGGAAATGGACATGTAATTCAAGGTGTTAGTCACAAACCATCCGCACAACCGTGCTCTTCCCATTTTTTCCCATTTTTTGGGAGCTTGTGGCTCAAGATGGGTCAACATGGGCCAACATAGGCCTCAAGATGGGCGAACATAGCCCCAAGATGGGGCACCAAGATGGGCCAACATAGCCCCAAGATGGGCCAACATAGCCCCAAGATGGGCCCACGTTGCCTCAAGATGGGCCAACATAGCCCCAAGATAGGCCGCCGACCATCAAAATATCCTGCGTTTTACTGTGTTTTTTTGCTGTTCCCATTTTTAGGATCTTTTGGCTCAACATGTGTCAACCTAGGCCCCAAGACGGGCCAACATAGCGCCAAGGTGGGCCAACATAGCCCCAAGCTGGACCAACATAGCCTCAAGATGGGGCAACATAGCCTTAAGATCTTGCTCCCAGCTAGACCCATATCACCTCAACATGGGCCCCTGGCCGGCTGTCGCGCGTAAGCGCTTAAATATACACTCATATTCATCAACATGCGCATCTGGAGTGGGGTGAGGTGGGGTAGGGTGAGGTGGGGTAGGGTGGGATGTTAACGTCCTTTTCACATGTGCGCCAGAATGGGAACGTTCACTGACACATGCGCAGCACAATGGCGTTCAGTCAATGACTTGCACTCATATTCATGAACATGTGCATCTGGGGTTGGGTGGGGTGGGGTGGGGTGGGGTATTGACGTCCTTTCACATACGCACCAGATGGGGAGGGGGGGAAGCAGACATAGGACCAAGATCTACTTGGACACGCTCTTCACTCTACTGCTACGTACTGACTTCTGACAACTATCACTACCTTTTAGGGTTTAGGGGTGAGGGGTGGCAAGTGGACATAGTAGCAAGATGTGATCCAACACACTGTTCAGCCTACTTTGGGCTTCTGACAACTATCAATACAGTACACAATGCAGGGCGTGCCCGTTTCTGCAAGCGGCACTATGCAGGTCAGAGACGATCGCCCGTTTTCACTCCCACTCCTTCTTTACATTGAAAGTAACGCACCTGCCGCGCCATATTTATCTGTATTACAGTAGTTCATTTCAAATTGCAAAGCAAATCCAGTGCACAAGCGATGGAAAAATCTAGTGGAGAAGCGAGGAAAAATCCAGTGCACAAGCGAGTGCTCGCCCCCCTGCAGGCCCGATAGGCCTGTTGATGATGTCGGCCAAGCGGTCAGGATGCATGGCTACGCATAGTTTCAGAAACGATGTAAAAAATATCCCAGCAAGCGACCCCGAACAATGGTTGCAGTCAACTAAGGAAGAGTGCACGAACGCGCTTTCTTATGAAAGAGACTGCAGGATCTCTGCACAATACCTCTTGACAGGCCTCTTGGCAGGATCTTGAAACATGATCTCTTACAGCATCCTTGTGAAGCTCTCTTTACAAGATCCCTTGGAAGACATTCTTTGCAGATCCTGTGCAAGATCACTTTGTGAAGATCTTTAATGGCACGGCATGGCTGGATAGAATCTCTACACAACTTCTGAAGAAGAAACAAAATCAGTACCGCGCCACAACGGCACCGATCTGACGCGCACCAAATGCCGTAAGGGTTGCGCGGGCGAAACTTGCAAACTCCCAAATTACTGCGCGCACTAAGAACAACGGATGCTGAGATTTCGAAAAACAACGTTTTACCTAGGCAAGGAGCGACTTTTTCAAGGGCCTTCAAAGGTATTGCGCCTGCCACGAAAAATGGACCTGAAACATCCGAAGTCCTGTGCTTGCCAAGTGGAATCATCATCAAATACCAAGTCAAAAAAGGACAACAGTCACCGTTTTCGAGGTTGCAAAACATCCTCCTAGATGCAGATCTGCTGCGCCTGCCACGTAAAATGAACATGTTCAACAAACAGTCTTTAAATGACCAATGCCTGCCAACTTTGTAGCAACGTGCACGAAATACTGCGCCTGCCACGCAGATGAAAAAGTGTCCGGAATGATGCGCTTGCTGCGTTTTTCCGTGGCCATGCTGGGTGCTGTGTGGGTGGCCTTCCTGAGCCGATTATCTTCTTTGTTAATGGGTTTCGGCCGTGACGCCTCCTGCTTTGGGGTGCCTATATGATAGGATGGAACATTGCATTTGTAAGGGCGTTAAGGGCAACAAACCTGTCAAAACGGGCAAAAAAATCCGCCCCATATGCTTTCCTCATGTCACGTCATTTCCTGAAATCCTCCCACATCTTCCCACCAAATTTCACTCCCAACAAATGTTCACCCTTACCTTATTTCTATTGTTACTTGGTCCAGCCCTGTTGAAAAAAGAACAGGAGCTGACATCACCGGCAAAATGCGCTGGCGCTCTGGTTTCGGCAAGGAACGCTTTTCAAAACGGACGTTTAAGAGACGAGGCTCAAAACATTGGACATCAAACACCGCAATCTCTGGCAATAATGCTAGCAATTACAAACTCTGACACTTTAAGCCGTTGGCCTACAAATATCTACAAAATGCATTGAAATGCATGAAATGTTTCTGCTGGCAAGATCTCCGCAGGACTCAACTGCAATCTTCAAGCAATGGTTTCATGATGTTCTTTTGTCAAGCGCCAATGAAGGTGCGCAGCATGACCAAAGCAATAAGAAACACTTGGAGGTAATGTGATCTTTATATTCACTCACTAAGCCCGGAGGCTGGTCGCAAATTTCAACTAACATACTAAGCATATTCAAATTTCAACCTGCCACAATCCTGACGCAAATCTCCAAAACATATCCAAATAATTCAACATATCCAGCAACACTCTCAAGAATTCAAAAATCATCAAGAATCACATGTGCTGCGGCAAGCGGCACAACCGCGTTGACCCGTTGACCCTGACCCCGGTCCTCGATGATATTTCAGTGGCGCCGAAAAGCCGACCTTCGTCGAATCATAGAGGTCGTCCTGCCAGTGAACAAATTCAAGACGAGACGATGGAAGTGGATGAATATGATGAGTTCAATTTGAAATTGATGGAAGTGGATGGAAGTGGATGGAACATTTTTGAGACTTGTTGGATGATCTTGGATATCTTGATAATCTTGATGTCGAGATGTTGCGATACTCTTGGCGTATCCTTCGATGTGAGTTCGAAACGATGTTAAAGGAAGGAGAGTTCGGTTGATGAAACCGGCACTTCACAGCCACAGAGCGGGTCCTGAAAGTCCTAGTCCTGATTACGAAACAGGTCAGGTGTTTCTCCATCTTTCTCCAATACACCAAACTTCCATCGCAATTTCATATTGTGTTTCTAGGCCCCAGAGCCAAACCACCAGCAACCAAGAGGCCACCACCTGCAGCATGTTGTCACCCCGTCTAACCACCATTTTGCTCGTTTCATTGCAGTTCAAACAGTGACAAGTTGAACATACCACTTGGGGCCAGCTTTCACATCTCAAGCGGCCTCATCAATTCGATGTCAATGCATTGGTTGATGCCCCGCAGTTCGACCTCAAAGAAGAGATCCAAATTCGTAGGAATCGGCCATGTGCGTGAGTTCCCATAAGCCAAATCGGCACACGCGTGACAGATGGTTCCACAAGGCTCATACGTCTGAAGCCCACTTCCCAACCACGGATCACTTGAAAGGCACCAAGTTGAAAGCTAAAGAGGTCATGGTTTTTCGACGAATCGAAGAGCTGACCATTCTGCAGGTAACGTATTGCACAAAGAGTTAATCGCCATCTTTGGAAAAAGTCCCGCCGTCCCC